GCTTGTTCATAATTACAGAATAATCAGGTGGGAGTACCTCCCTTACAAGGCCCTGTGAGGGGGCTGTGAATGGCCTTTCATTTGTAAGTGCCTCTTTAAATTTGGTGGGATCTTCTGAGAGTGAAGCTAAAAGGCTTTGTAATTTAAAAGATCTGCTGCTGCCCGGGGGACATGAGCTCGCTGGTGGGGGTCCAAGACGTATCTGCAAAGGATACTGCCTAGAAAGGCCGGAAGCTGGCAAAGCCTGCAGAGTGGGCCTCGCTGTCCGTCCGGGGCTTCTGGATCCACTTCCTGCTCTCAGCACCCACGTGAGCAGCCTGCCTGTCCTGGGCCAAAGGGTCGGGCTGGAGTGCCCTCTAAAGCTCACAGGGGAGGGGGGTTAGGACAGCGGGGGGTGCAAGCTGTAGGTGATGGTGGAACCCAGGCTCTCGCAGGAGATGGTGAGGAAAGTGCTGCCCGGATCCACGCACGGGAGGAGAAGGTGGTGCAGCGAGGTTTATTCATGACGCGAAGTCAAAGGAGCGCCTCTCCCTGGTTTCCATCGTCCCATCTCTGTCCGTCCACCATAGGAAGTCCAGCCATGTCCTCAGCAAGGCCCAGACAAAGGCCAATGGCCAGGGATTCTGCTTCCTATGAAAACTTAGACTTTTTGGAGCCCACATGGTCTGCAGGCCCAGGCTGCTGCTAGACTGCATGGTTATGTGCTCTGGGGCGAGAGAGAATGCAGGAATGGGGTGGGGGGAGGGGGGAGGGAGATACTTTGTTCCCCTGGGGTTTTAACCAGGAGCTCTCTCGACATATTCCTAAACTTTCAGAATCTCCGGCCAATGATTTCTCCCCCAGGTGAGACCGACCGGCCTCTGTGGACAGGCACCTCCCTGAGCCATTCACCTCCATGGACCATGTGCTCGCTCCCCCTATGCTGTGTCCCCTCCCCTGTGACCTGCGGAGGGACCTGTGGCTCCCGGGAGGAGCATGGAGCACACAGGCCGTGCCCCCAGCCGCCCTGCCCCACATGCCTGGCTCCCTCGCTCTGTCACTAATGGTTCGCTGGCTGCCGGTAGCAGAGGTGCTGGGAGCTCAGATGTGCTGAGGAGGTGGGGCCGGATTTCTGCAAGGGGCGTGGATGTTGGGTGTGGACTTTAGTTCTAAGTCTGATTCCTGTTCTCTCATCTTCCCGAAGGCGTTCCCCAAGGCTACGTTCCTTTGAATCCGCTTTTCGCCTTGGTCTTTCCACGGGTACCAGTAAGACAATTGTCTAGGATGAGAGCTCTCTAGAAAAAATGGGGTTTTCTTTTAAATGTAGTGAATCCAAAGGGTCACTGTCTGACCACTGATGTGTAGGGTCTTATATTAACTTCAGTAAGGACTCAGACCAACACCTTTTCGTGGCTTAATTATGGACACTAGAGGCGTCCGGAAAGGAGATACAAAGAGGCAGGCCTTTCACAAGATCCAGGAGTTCCCCCCCCCCGCCCCCCCGCCCCCCACCCTGTCTAGCCTAAGAAAGAGGAGACCTTCATCATCACTAGTGAGGAGAATGGTGGCCCGCCTGCTGTGGCTCCACAGTTGAGCGTCGGCCTCTGAATCAGGAGGTCACGGTTCAACTCCCGGTCAGGGCACATGCCCGGGTTGCAGGCTCAGTGCCCAGTGTGGGACGTGCCAGAGGCAGCCGATCAGTGATTCTCTCTCATCATGGATGTTTCCGTCTCTCTCTCCCCGTCCCTTCCTCTCTGAAATCAATAAAACATATATTTTCAAAAAGACTCTTCCTGGGCACGTTAGGCCTGACTGCCTTCGGCTCGGACGATCTGCATGCTGAAGTAGCGCTTCGTGGGGTCCCGGGTTCTGTCCCCTGGAACACAAAGGTCAGGTCAGAGGAAGGCGGTTTCCATCGCGCTGCAGCTGCGCTGCTGGCTGGGGATGGGACAGTGTTGGGGGAGTCACTCTCTCGGGGTCAGAGCAGTTCCCATGGGGGGACGGGCGCCTGAAGATGCTGCCGAGGGTCTGAGCCGGGCAGGAGGGCACGGGGACAGAGCCCTGTCCTAGTTCCCAGGTACCTGGGTGGCACTAACACCCCGTCTCCTGCTGCAGAGGCGGGTGCTGGGGCCAAGGGGTCCCTGCCCCCTCTCAGGAGTGTCTTCCTTCCTGTTTGGAGGGGGCGTGACAAGCGCAGAGCCGTCTAGAGCAGTGATGGCAAACCTCTGACACGCGAACTCATTTTTTTGGTTGATTTTTCTTTGTTAAATGGCATTTAAATATATAAAATAAATACCGAAAATATAAGTCTTTGTTTTACTATGGTTGCAAATATCAAAAAGTTCTGTATGTGACACGGCACCAGAGTTAAGTTAGGGTTTTTCAAAATGCTGACACACCGAGCTCAAGAGGTTCGCCATCACTGGTCTAGAGGGTCAGATGTGTTCCTTTGCTTAGCCCTTAGGCCAGGAGTGGGGAACGTCCGCCCGCGGGCCGTATAAGCTCTGAGAAATCACTTGGTCTGGCCCCCTCAAGGCGTTAGGGGGGAGTCAATTAAATGTTTGACCAAATATAGCAGGCTCATTTTTTTGGTTTTTTTTTTCTGTTTAGCAGGCTCTTTTTTTTTTTTTTTTTGGTGGGGGGGGGGGTGTCAATCCTCATCAGAGGGTATTTTTCTATTGATTTCTTTTTTTTTTTTTAGAGAGAGAG